TGGGAAGGCTCTAAATTTATGAAATTATGAAATATTTAATTTTTCCCACTGTGTCATTTTTCTAAACCAAATTCATTTCCCACAGCTAATATTTGTTATGCAGGGTGAAACTTATAGCTCCTTCAGGCAAAGGTAATTTATACTGAATATACTTTAGAGGTTCTTTCAGTACCATTCACCTAATGTAAACTGCTGATCAGCAGAGGAAGAACTAAATCATCCTACAAGAGGCACCTCTTGCCTAATTTCTTTAGATCAAAATACATCAGAAGGGGTTTAACTCTATATTTGCATGGAATTATTTTGCTAGTTCACATTCTATTTCTAAAAATAAACAGTGGATTTAGTTGATCAGTTTGTTAGGTTTTTTTTCCCATTTTAACTCAGCAAACTTATTTGCTATTGTTGAGAGTTCTGCTGCTCTGAGAAATATAATCGCCACTTTGGAGCCTTTTAACAATTCAGAAATGAGAAAAGATAACTGCAAGGGTATTTTTTGCCTCCTACACTAGTTTTCATATTTTTTAATTAATTATTTCTCCTTCATTAAAAGTCAAAGAAATAAAGAAATATGCTGTATCTCCAAGGTTGGATAAGATTAAATACTGATTTGGGACCATTTGGAACTTTCTTTCCCACCATGTACCTAGTCAGCTTCCACCAAGCTCTTGGCCAACTTTCAGCATACTTTCTCCCCCCCCCCCCTTTTTTTTTTTTTTTTGACATGGGAATTCTGTTTTCTCACAGGGCAACAAAGGTTTCTTAGAATACACAATAAGAGATAATACATTAACACACTAAGACTGGAAAAATACACATTGTCCACATAGGTCCAAGTGTGTGATTGAACCACAGCAAACATATTTACCATAATTATTTCTGCTTCTGTTACAGTGAAATAACATTAATTTTGAACACAGATTAAAAGTTACAAACTAATGTTATTTCATTTTAATAGATATGGTACAGAAATATGCTATCACTGCATTCTATTTAGAGCATACATTTATAAAATCCATTCGAATCATATATTTATTAAATAACTCAAGTCATTAAGTTGAGTTTTACATGCTTATAAAAAGAATTGCTGTACAACATTTGGAACTATCTAATATGTAGAATTTGCAACGTAATGTTTAAAAAAGGGTGAATTAAGTGAATCAGACTTATGAATACATTTCTTTGCTGTCTCTAATCAATATTATCAATACAAAGAGAAAATACTTGTAATAAATAAAAGAAACAGTTTGCTAGACATTCTAGGAATAGGAGGAACAAAAATGAGCTGTCCTTGGCACCAAATGCCATCCCTAACATTCTACTCCTCTTAATTTAGCATGTAACTATGCAACCTACCTGCAAAGATTAAAAGAAGAGCTACACATCTTGAAGCCTGGTTATTTTTCATATAAAACATTCTAGTATGTAAATATCTAAAGAATTAATAATTCTTAATTAACTTAGTTTTAAATCATATGTCTTATCTGTCCACCAAATTTGGTTTAAGGGATTATTACAGTTTGGATCAGTGTCATAAATTAGAACCATGCTATTGCAATGAAACTTGCTCTCCCTTTCCAAATAGGAGCAAATCCATAAATTTCCATAAATTCATTTTATAGCAAACTTCTGAAGTGGTTGTTAACTGGAAAAAACTTTTCTGCTGGTATTAGAATAAAATAAATAAACATTACTTTAGTAAACTTTAGTAAACACTGTAAGAAAAATTGAACTGCTGATATGATGCATTAGAGAACATAAAAATCCCTTAGAAGCAATACTCATTGTCCCATTTTTCCAATTTCAAATGGAACTTAGTAAGCACACAAAGTTTTGTTCATTTAAACATGAAGGAAGGAACTTTGAAAATGTAATATGGTGTATGTGAGCAGAAGGACACTAAAATATGGGAAATGTAAATAGTTTAAAACCATTATACTTTAATTAAGTTCCTCACATATTTCAAAGCTGAATAAATTCAGACATTAGATATTCCTGAAGCTCAAAAATCCTCTGGAATTGCTGGTAAAATAAACATTTTGGTGGCTTAATAAAACTGTGCAGGAATACTTCCAAAAGTCCCTCAAAGGAGGAGGTGGAGGAGGAGGAAATTACTCTGAGAACAAATATTTTTGTCAATTAAGATACTTTAAATATAATATACACATGTGTGAAATGATATCTAAACAGTCCAAATCAAATCAGCTTGGAGATGTCAATTCAATCCAGCAATTGGGGGGGGGGGTTGTTTCAGTGAAGAAATCTAATTCAGTTCAGAGAATCATTGCACAGAATTTTATTCCTAAATCTCTGTCTTCTAAAATTAGAACTAGTGCTACAGGAAAAAACAAAGGACTTTACTGATGTCTATGAAATCATCTGTCATTATAGCTGTGGGAAATAGTGAGATATTCTAACAATAGATATTTTTATTGGATGTTGATAGCCTCAGTCATAATTCCATTTCGTTATATTTCCTATCAAAACTGATTAACATTACCCCTATTTAATAACAAAAATGATTGATAACAAAACTATAAAGTATTTTAATATCAAAATAAGAAACTATCAAACATTTAAAAAGCAATTAACAAAATATTCACATATTTAACACTGAGAACTGTATTAAATTCTTAAATAATAAAGCTAGTTTCAAAGAAGGAACTTTAGAGAATAAAAATTAAATCAGAATATATTTAATTAAACACACACAAGATAACTTGCATTGCATATATGTTTCCAACAATTTTCTTTCCCTTCTATATCTGTCTCTTGTTTCTTTACAATTTCTTTCCTTAAACCCTAACTTCTGTGAAATATTCAATAGGTATAAATGTGCTACAACCTCATACTGAAACTCACAGGAGTAAATAGGTCCTTTCCATTAAATCAATGGAATGAGTCCCCATTAAAAGTACTTTGTAGACATGTTTATCAAAATCATCCCAATGCCCTTCATGACATTTTTGAGTACGTCTAGAATACTAGATTGTTTCATTATTGAGTCAAATAAGGCACTCTCCAGCCAAAATTAATATTTTATTTCCATTTCATAGAAACTGTAGAGAATTAAGCTTTACCTGAGAATGACATTTGATCTGAGTTATTCCTTTTGAAGTCAATGTGACTTATTACTGACATGCATTGGATTATACTGTTAAGGACATGCTAGCTATTGAAATCATATATACATATGTGGTAAGGCCTTGCAGTTGTTAATACTAAATATAATATGTTCATTAAAAGTACATTCTTTTATCTTTAAATCATAAACTTACCTAATTCTAGGAATACTTTAAATAATTTAAAAAACAGTTCTCTATTATTTTAATAGTACTTATATAGAAATTTTATATTAAAATTAGTAGCAGGGAAATGATAATCAGGAAAACATTTTTTGGGGGGAAGAAAAGTATGAATATATGTATTCTGAAGCAGAAAAGTACTTTTATTTATCTCTTCCCTTCAAAACATATAAACATTTTTTTAAAATTACATATTTATGTATGTAATTTATGTTTACACATTTGAAGAATCAAAATGTATTCTCTGCATTAAAATGTTTGGTAATTGGACATTCCTATGTGAGAAAATTATTTTTTAAAACCTGTTTTTGTACAAAAACAGGAAATGATGGCTTATACAAAGAATTACATATTTCAGCTACAATGATGTAATTTTCTTGTTACAGTTACCTGATTCTTGCGCCTATATGTTTTTCTAAAAAAAAACACAATACGGCATATATTCTTATAAATATTGCATGGACTTATTTCTTGCAAAAAATATTTGGTAGTTTCATGGTCTCACAAAATTACAGACATTGTATCTTCAATTTTCTCTGAGATAAAGAAACAATATAATTTTGATTGTTGTTTAAAGGTATATTCCTCCCTCAAACCTGACATTTTTATAAGATGCAAACTATACATGCTATAGCATGTTTTTCTTGAAATTTTGTATATGATAATCATATAAAGAATTCCCTGAGAAGCAATGGCTATAGAATTGAAATGTCACACTGGACTACACAGCATTGCTCCAGCTCAGACATGTATCAACATCTATCACTCAAACACACTCCTAACATGCTTTATTCCCTTTTCTGATTAGAGATTACAGTTGCTTGAGTTGTCTTACAGAGTATCATTGGTTTGAATGACAGATGCCCAGGCTAGACTGCTACCCTTATTTTCATTTAGATATCAAACCAATATTGCTGAAAAGCTATTAGGTCATAAGCTAATTGTCTAGTTGTTTAAAGCAAAAAATACTTATATTCATGCATCCTCAGAAACAGGGATAATTTTCAGCTGAAATGAAAATACCTTCTAAGAAGTCAGAAAAAGTATTCTTGATTTCCTTCCTCATTAGAAATATGTAAGATTGATTTCTTAGATTACCCCCAATCATCTAAACCATCTTTCCAGAATGTTATAATAATATATAAGAAAGAAGCATTATTTCTATTCCTATTTAAAAGAGATTCCTATAAAAAGGAGAAAACCCTATTGGAAATACTTAAGAAAAGTTTACAATACCCACAGCTTCCTGACAGGTCATTTTCATAGTGAAATATTACCCTTTGGTTACATATTTGTATATTTCAGTTGGTTACCAATTTCTTAACAAATCAATACATAACAATAATCAATTCTAAAAAAATAGTTATATCTGTATCTCAAAGCAAAAGATAGTACATAACAAACCATTTGCATGGAGAACAGTCTTGCTGCTGTCCCACTGATTTCTATGGGACTGATGCATGCAATTTGTGAATTTCAGTTAAAATCAATGAGGGCGTGCTATTCCTCAGGCCAAACTCTGATCAGTTAGCAGGCACATACTCTCAAGCAGGACAGAGAAAGCTTGTGTCCACTCTCCTTTCCCCAGAAGTTGGTTCTTCCAAATATGAAAGCTTTATCTGCTTTCTCTCCTCTTCTGGCATCGAGGCAGAGACAACTACGGCCCCCAAACACAAAATACCTAGACAGACTTACCGAAGAGCTTGCTGGGAGTGTCCTCGTTGTCATTTGATTCCACAGGCTCAAGCTGGGACTTATCCAGCTCGTTGTCTGAAGCAGCTGCCTTGTCCTCACCTCTCAACTCTGCATTCATTTCACTCTGCACTGACAACAAGAGCTTACTGACTTGTCCAGTTATCATTGGATCCTAGGATGGGGGGGGAAAGAGGGGGAAAAAGTGGTAGCTTTGATGTGCGTATTCTGTCTTGTGCGCTCTCTCTCTTCCTCCCTCCCTCCCTCTCTTTCTCTCTCTCTCTCTCTTATCTCTTGCTGCTCCTGCTGTTATTGCTAGCTGCAGTCAAGTGGAGAGCTATTACAGATCCAATGAGTTTTCCATTACTCCCCACCCTATTAAAGCTCAACTAGCATGTGAAAGATTCTGGATGCTTTGGAGAAAAACTTCAGTGAAAGCTACATAGGCAACCCAGTTTTAATTGTTGAGATGCACTTCTTCTGAATGTTTTTTTATACTTCACTCTTTAATGTAATGTGGTAAGAGGGAGGGAACTGCAAGCTCTATGGTCAAGCAGTAAAAAAAAAATGATAATACAGAAATGTTCTAGAACACTTGCTCAAAAAATTCACTTCTATAACATTAATCATATCAGAAGAAAAAACTACACAGTAAAAATAACATTTCCAGAACATCCCACACCAATATTTTAAAAAATAAAACAGAAATCTTTCTTTTTAAAAAATATTTTATTGATATTCCAAAGTTTAAAAACATAAAATAAAACTATATGCATTGTTATCAACATCAAGACATCTTTTACATTTCTTTATTCTTTCTTTCATTTTATCACATATATAAAACAAGAAGAAACACTCATGCATTATGTTTTGGGGTTATTAGGCTTCAAAAGTCCCTAATCCCACGCATATTGAACAGATATATATAAATAAAATAAGTATATTCACATTCTTAAAAAAGAAGAAAAAACTTGCAATGGATACTTACTAAAGGTTTATAATCATTTTTGTTTAGACATAATTCCATCAAGCCTACACACACACACACACACACACACACACACACACACACACACACACACACA